TGCGACCCATCCACGTAATACCATGATGATTTCAGGAAGTAGATGTTCCACCATGTTCCACCCATTCGTAGATTGTAGAGGGCCCAAAATAGCATTGCTCCTGTTTTCGACCACCATCTCTATGACAGAAAAGCAACGGCAGAGACCACCTCTCTCCCCCCCCCAAGGCATCAAGAGCCCTTCCTGGCCGTGGTAGTGGACCCGGTGAGGACCTGCGCCTCCGGGAAGGCGCGGAAAAATCACCCAAGCGATCCATGCGCCAAACGTGGCATCCGACGTGCTACACAGCACTGAGGTGTTCCAAATCTGTTTTGACCACATGCTTCAACAGATTCAAACAGATTCAAGATAAACAGATTCAACCAATGAGGTGTCCCAAATCTGAGGTGTTGCTATATATTAACATGCTTTCAAACAGATGCAACATAAACGAGCAATCCATCGTGATCCATCATCTCGCCCCTCAGCCGCCATTCCACTCAATTGGGGTGCAGGGAAACGAGCTACAAACCAGAAGAAAAACACCAAAGACTGAGACCCGTGAAAAAACATAGGAAAAATAGGACAACGCCCCCGCGGAGCGTTGGGTCTTTTCCTTTCGGTCATTGTGTCCCCCCGCGTCGATCCGGAGCGTCGGCCCCCCCCAGATGGACCTACCGATGTTTACCCTCTTCGGCTTCCGCTTCCGCAGAGGTGGACATCGGTGCTTTTCGGACCTACCCGGCGGGGCATCAGCCACAAGAGGACGGGCCCAATGAGTACCAACCCATCCCCTTAGAGACCGAGCTATGTGATGGGGGTCCGGTGGATGGGGTCTGTGGATTTTCCATTTCATGTCCGGAATGTTGTAGATGCCTCTGGTTTGTTGCGTCAGGTCTTGGAAATCCATGAAATCCATGTTCCAAAGTATGACCCAACATCTGGAGAATCATCATTTTCCAAACGTGAAATAGTGGGCTCCGCAAAGAACACTGGACTATAGGGAGCCCAGAGTTGCAGTAGATTTATTTGGGTTTGCCTGAGCCTCGGACGGAGTTGCGCAATCTCAATCTCAATTCTGAATTGCAGGTCTTGTCTCCATCCATGGTGAAGCATCTTGTGTATCTCAATGATTTGTAGACCATCTCAACCTGAAGTCCCACCTGCACCTCGCATGGTAATTTGACTTGACAACACCAGGTTAAACACCATGGTGCAGGTTCGTGAAGGTCTAGGGCCCCGCAACACCCGCCACTTGTTGGGACCTTTTTTGGACCAACACACGTTTTCATTTTTTGCGTCAAGATGTGACGACGGTTCCTTTCTTCATTTCAGGGTGGTGGTGCTTTCTGATGTGTTTTGCGTGTACTTGGAGGCTTTCTACGAATGATTTCCACTTTCTACGGTGGTTTGGCTTGGTAAATCCGCATTCTCGAACCAGACGGCCAGACGGCCATGGAGTGGAGATGGGGAGTCCTTTTGGCGACCCGTCAGGAACGAAGCTAAGAACCGAACCCGAAACCAGCTACTTTTAGGCCATTCTTTGAGTAATCCAGAGCACGAAAGAAGAACCTTGACAACTCGAATGGTCATTTCTGATGTTTCTTGATTCGTTCCGGGCCAGTGCTGGGCGTGGTGTGACTGAGTCAGTCGACATGTTGTTCCATCTAATTAGGTGGAGTTGACCTTGCGGCCGCCAAGGATAAGATCGAAGACTTTGGAGTTCACTGCAAGCAGTACTACAGCCTTCCGATCGAAGTCTTCAAGAACAGCACCTGGGCATTTTTGCCAAAACAGACCGCATCGAACTATGACTATGAGCCATGTTGTTTTGTGGGGGGTTGGACTTGTGTTGGATCAGCGAACAGACTGCACGAACCGGCGCTTTTGGTTGCCCTTTCTAGGTGAATGCCACATGGTCTTTGCATACAAATGCTTTTTGGTCCGTCACCTAAGGCTTGGACAACACCATCTTGGAGCTACTGTGGAACAAGTACTGGATCGACACCTTATCCAGCTCCCCCTTGTTGCACAACCGGGGATTTTGCAATCAGATGATCCAGGACCTTTCGGGCCCAACTTGCAGGCTGAGTCAGAGAGCTTGATAGAGGGGAAAGCAAGTGTGAAGGAGTGTTTCGAGAACCCACTGAGTTTCGAGACCGCCCCATGGCCGTGCGTGCCGAAGTAGAAAGCTTGTGTGCTTGACGTGCGGCCAGTGGCACAGATGTGCATGGCGCCATGCGTAGAGGACCATGGACCACAAGCTTCGTGGTTGGCTTGTCCTTGTTGGTGATCAGTTAGTGTAATCTTCCAGCTTGGAAGTTGCCCCTTATCCTTCACTGGAGTTCGGGTGGTCTTCGAAGACAAGCTCCCGCTGCGTTGGAAGTCTCAATCAACTATACTTGCTTCTCACCGCAAGCCCTTGCTCATAAAAGACCCCCTATTCACCATCCTCATTCATGTTCTATGTTTTGCATTGTTTTGCTAACTCTCCAGCAAGCAGGACTGCGTGCAGAAGATGGACCAGATCCTCGATTGGCCAAAGAGCAGAAAGCAATGCCTTAGGGAAGCTTTTGGGATCGAGTTGCCCTACGCATTGTTCCCTACCCACCAAAGTAGCACAGCAGTCCATTTCCTCTATGGGTTTTGCAGATGATACCCTCCCAACAATCATGGAAGTGGACAACCCCTCTTGGTAGAGGAAAGTCGTCTTCCAAGGGGCCATGCCAGCCACTTCCATGATTTTTGGAAGGAAGAGTATTCCTTTGTATTTCTTGGGACACCTACGAGCTCGTGGATTACAATCATACACATTTTGGGACTGGGAGCGCATGCCTGCGGGAAGTCACCGGGCAAATCGGGGATGACGTGATCTGATCTTCGGTGATTTGATCTGAGGTGTTTGAGAGAGTTTTCACTTAGTGAAGTCGGGAAGCCTATTGATGGCCCATCAAGCCACAAAAAGACCTGGCAGGCACTTTGGAGTCAAGCCATGTCAAGACCAGTTTGTTCAGGTGCTCCCCCCCCAGAAAGACACAGAAACACCTACTTGTATCATCTTGAATCCATACGTTTTGGGCGGAAGGCCAAGCCATGTGGCCAGTAGCCAACACCGTGCTTTGCTTCACAACGCCTGGTCGTCAGGATCGACATGACTGCAGTGTCTCAGTCCCGGTTCCGCGTGGCGATGATGGAGCCCCGGAAGCGGAAGGACGAGAGCGCCTGGGCGCAGGGCGGGATCCGGCACACCACACGGGTGAAGGGAATGGGACAGTCTGACACCTTCCGCACCTACCAGGCTTCCAAGAGCAATCTGACGAAGTGAGCAATCCTACAAAGTGGCCCCGGTCTTGAAAGAGAAGTGTTTTTTTTGTTGAGTTATAGCTGTTTGGACTAGAATTGCCTTTAGGTTTTGATGACAATCTTTAGTTCCCTTCAGTGGCCTACAACTCCACAAAGGTTGACCCATTGGGAGTTTTTTGTGGAACTTGCCAGGGGTCGTCTTGAACTGCAGGGTGTCTTGCTTGGATCATTTCTTTGCTGTCCGGTTTGGTTTGACTCTGGTGGGATGCAGCACCTTCACCTCAAACCCAGGAATCCAGCCGTCTTTTAGGTCCCAAGAGAAACCCAGCATCATCCGGCTTGCCATGAAATGCACTTTCTGGAGAGAGTCACTTGTTTGTTCGCTGCCCTCATGTTCCACGAGACAGTGCCAGTGGGCTCGGATTTTGTGCGGCAGATCATGTTGGGTCAACTTTAATTCGCAAGTGAATCTGCAGGCAACAGTCACGGGCCTGCCCTTGGCGTACACGCTAAGAAAGAAAGAAAGAAAGAAAGAACATGAAAGAACCCAAACCTTAATTTTCCGTGATCCTTCAAGCCCTGAAGGGAGCTGCATGGCAATCCTATGCAATCCTGAGGTTTGCTGAACAAGGTCGCCATCGATGCCTCAAAGAACGCCGGCGAACAAGTGCAGGGGCTCACCAGCCAGGTGAGGACCATGACCAGTTGAGGCAGAGGTGACTGGCAGAGGTGATTCGAAGCTTTATTATGGATTGATGATCCATGCAGATGCAGAAGAAGATGCTTAGTTTCCTCATGTTTCCTCGCGACCCGCCACCTGACTGTTGCTGCGTTTCGGACATGATGCCGTTAGTGATGCCGCTATATTTGGGACGCTCCACAGCATGCGTATAGTATATGTATGTGTATATATATATATCCTTTTATTGACGGAAATGTATATTGTACCTGCAACAGCCAGTAAACGATTAAATTCTCACTACAAGGCCTGGCAGCTTGGCAGGTCGTGAAGTTCGCCCTTTTCCAGGGACGTGCATCCTGTTCCTGTCGGCACGAGCTGCTCGGGCTCGGCAGCTGCGAGCAGCTCCGTCCGTTTCGCGATGCGCGATGGGATCCAAGATTGAAGTCGGACTACCAGTATCATCCAGCATCTTAGAGAGTCTTTCTAATAGTCCCATCTTTGGAGGCTTCGACCATGTTCGACCGCAGGTGTCGCTTAAAAAAAGGAAAACACCGTGCCAACATAACTAGCAGCCTAGCAAGTGCGGGGGGAGAGCGTGGGCTGTCCAGCCCAAGTACTCCGAGGACCGAGCAGCCGACACCTATGGAGAGTTGAGATGTACAGCCCAGCAGTGGACAGCAGTGGGCATCGGATCAAAAGGAAGAGCAGATGTATACAAAAGGCATCGGATCACACATGTATACAATCAGATCATGACTCACTGTGTGAAGGAGTTTGAGTCGGTGAGTTGGCAATGTTATGAGTCATGAGCGTAAACCTCCAGATTCAGGGGCAGTTCTGAGGCATCAAAAGACATTTGTATTCATATATGAACCCTGGCCAACGACTCGATAGTCACGCGTGAAGCCCAAATAGATGTTTTAGCCTTTGTTTGATTGAGACGGAAGTAAGTAGCCCAATTAAGTTGTGATTCAAGGTGCGCCCGTCCGTTTCCAACCACACTCATCCGCGCTCGGCCTGCCTGTCGTTTTTTGAGGTCCTGAAGAAAACCGTGCGATGTGTGCTGAGCTGAGCTGAGCCAAGAAAGCCCTAAAACCTGGGGCTTACTTGTTATTACTGACGGACAGCTATCGCGGCTGGTTATTGCAGCTATAGCAAGAGCATACAATATGAATGTTAAAGAGGTTATCGGTTATAAGATAGTTATAGAAAGACGGGATAGTTATATTGCTCCACGTGTTGCAGATTAATATCTCAACTCAGATGCCGCCTTATTGTTTTCCCTCCACTTTCGGGCCAATCCCACACTTGTTCGACTACGTTTGGCGCATCGAAGGCTGCTCCTCTTCCGGCGGGCTAGCCGCTGAGGTCACAACAACTGACAACAACTCCATCCAGGCGACCTGGGAGAGGCTTCAGCGGCTACAGATTCCAGAGTAGATGGCACAGGCACCCCAAGATGTGTTTTAAAATGCAGGTGAATATAAACCACCAAACTTGGGGATAATTATGCCATCTACTCAATCCACTCCAACATCCAATGCGAGGCAGTCGACTTGGGACAGGGGTCGTTTCGGCAATCCCAGAGACACCCAGCCGGGACGGTGAACAGAGCGTTTGGGGCGTGTTTTGTTAGCATCCTACCCCATCGGATACCTCGCTACTCCGGCGGGGACTGGGTCGACCTTGGTTCTGCGACTAGGGGTCGGGTCTTCTCGGTGTCTCTCAAATTGATGCGTGGCGGTGCGCAATAGGATGATGACACCCATAGATGTGCAATGCCAGCCTTGCGATTTGGAGACCGGTCTTCCCAGTCACCTTTGGACCAACCCCACGAGGGGGTCCAACATGTGTACTTCTCCCGAAGTCACCACTGTTCGAGTTGGGCAAGTTGCCGCGGGGCCACTAGATGCATTGGTCATAAGGCAAACTATGTTGCATCACATGTCATTTTGACAGAAGGCTTTCAATCATTGTGCTTTGGTCGGGGAGATCATTTCTCAAAGCCTACAGTATCAACCAAACGGTGGTTTCCCATGTTCGCTTATGCTACCCATTCCTGCTTGGTCAATGTGGTGTGGTGTGTCCAAAAGGTGACCAAGACATTGACAAGACATTGACCATGCAAACATGTCATTTCGGTGCGGACCATGGTGCTTCATGCTTCATGCCGGACCCATGGGGCTGTGCAGTTTGCGACTGATGAGATAGATTTGAGGCGCTCTTCCGACTGATGGACTGCTACTTTGTGAACTTCATCCCCAATGAGCTGAAACCCGCCAACACCTTCAAGGAGGCCATCGCAGAGCTCCTTGGAAGCTGTTGGTGGTTTGATCTGGGGAAGATTGGACTGAGGATGCCAGGTGTCATCAGGTGTCGGTGGGTGCAGAACTTCGCCCCTGAAGCACACGTGAAAAGCATCCATAGATCCAGTGCAGTATTCAGTGCCCAAGATCCCAGACGCTCAAGTTGGAGCCTTTTGTTGTTTTTCGTGCACTGCTACGTGAAAGTCTCCTAATTACATGACAATTTGACAGAGGCCATCATGATTTCCTAGTACACAGATTGTGCAGGTGTCCTGTGTGTATTTTCGATTGGCTTACAGCTGCAGCTTGTAACCATTGGTAACTACAATTAAAGTCGCGAAACATGCGACTGCACACAAGTCAACAAAATTGGCATGTCATATTTATTTGACTTAGCCACTTGATTTGTAGCATGTCGTTGTTGGCTGTTGCTTAGTTTTTGGCCGCATTGCGGCTCCTAAAAAGCGATGTGCATGATTGCAGGTTGCAAACCTTTGGACTGCCCAGGTTAGTCCCGAACCTCATTCCGCTCTTCTTCTTTTGCTTGGTTTGGTCTATTGGAGCCAGCTGCGATGCCAAGAGCCGGAAGGGCTTCAGCGATCTGGCCCGGGCTTCAGCGATCTCGTCGTCGCCCGAGCGGTTTCGACGAAGTGATTCTCTAAGTTGGAATGTGCAAAGATCTAGCCATAGTTAAATACTATGTGACATTATGTGACTATGTGATACCGTGATACCTGATAACTATATACTGATTGTATATAGACTGGATCCGAGATATAGAAGACTTCTCGGCCGGCGCGGTGCCTGACATGGTCCTCAGCAGGTGTGGGCTATGGTGAGCGAAGATCTTCGTCCGCCGGTGGTGGAACTCCTGGAGAAGGCCTTTATCCAGGCGCGAGAGGATGCAGGTCATGGAGCAGATGACCAGCATGCCGCCGTGAGGTCATGGGGTAGAGGGTTTCAGGGTGCCAGCAGCTCCGAGCTGATGGAAGGGGATGGAAGAAGACCGAGCAAATACCCTTTATGAGCTGCTCTCCTTTTGTAAGACATATATATATATATATCACATATGGTTAAGACTGAAGTTCGGGTTTGGGTTCGAAGTCAGTTGGCCTATCCAACGCTATCAGGACAGTATCTTTGAATCTTACGTTGTATAGTGATGGAGCATCAATGTGGATCCGAGGCTGCTTCCCACTCACCGAAACCAAAGCAATATTTGTCGCAACCAGTGTTGCGCAAAGAAGTGCGTCCTCAAGAGGGGCCTTGCCAGCAGTTATCCAACGCTGTCCTCCTAGTTTCCCACCTTTTGTCATTGCCTTCCACAGTCCACACCTCCCGGGAACGCCATGTGGGTGGGGAAACCGGCCAGGTGCCACCCTTGCAGGAAAACGTGACCTTCGCGGGCATTGAGCCGGGCGATTTGCTCTATGACTACTTCTATGACCAGGAACTGGTGACAAAAAGGGGGAAAGAATGATCCGCGATCATCCAGATAGGAGCTGCATAAATCATGACAAGTACCACCGCAGATAGATCATGACAAGTCCACAAGCCATCATAGAGCGCCTGAGTCAACATGTTGGATGGGATGCCACTTAATTACATACTTCATTGACTTTGAGGTTGTCCCTTCAACATTGGCCAAGCAGCTTGGAGGCGAATGAACATCCAGCCTCAACAGACCCAACGATCCACCGAGTTGTCCTGAACTTATCTCCAGACAACCTGATAGTAAGAACCCTGACCATGTTTGCGTCTTCCAAATCCAAAACCTATTTAATATAACACAACTGCCATGTTCGCTGGGTCCTACCATCGCAGGAGAAGCGACAGTTCGTGCCGTGGATGACGACCATCCCCAACTTCGAGGCTTCGATCGAGCACCGAGTGAGTTCGTGACGTGTTTCATGACACTGTCGCGAACCTTCCAAGACACCGGAGGCCGGTTGGACAGGTTGGACCAGTATAGTTGTTACGCGTTGTTACATGATGTTACATGTATCATGTTCTTACATGGCTAGAATGCTAGAGTTAGATCTAACTCATCATGGCAATGTTGTTAAAAAAGAAGCCACATGCCCCTTGGCATTTTTTCTCACAGAACTTCAGCCAGACGCACGGTGCGGGTCCCGACTCCGCGCAGGTGCCACGGGTGGCCAAGTACGAAGAGATCGTGGTGCCCTCCGTGGACTCGGCGGAGGAACCCAGCGAAGTGGAACAACGGAAACCCGTGTTTTGAGACCCACATGGAAGCTGATAGAAAATGGACAATGCAAGGAAGACTCGCTTCCACAGCAGTTCTTTTTTGTGTTCTTGCTAGTGGGATTGCTTTTTGTTTTTTTTTTGGGGGGGGGGGACACACGCACTTGGGCCGGTGTATGGATATGTATTGACGTGTTGTTTGGGGAAGTGTGTGCAAGCTTTTCGGAATGAGTTTGGCAACGTAAATGCACTGGATCGAGGACGGGGTGAGGGCCTAAGTAAGTGAGGCTATGTAGTATTTTGGGGTATTGTGGGTGGAGTCCCAAGCAAAGCAAGCTTTTTTGGTGCACATTGATTGCTCAGAGTCCACATCGATTGTGTGTGTTTTTTTTTGCGTCGTCCCAAGATTGCTTTCTTGAGAGTGGGACCGTCCCAAGAAACCTGAGGTCCGCTTGGTGTATATCTTCCAGCTGTTGGTGCTCAATGACAAGCACGTTTTGTGCCCTGGGCCTCTTGGCCCGAACATAGACTCACGAGTCGCTGGCGATGTCTCCTGGAATTCTTGGCAACATACATGTGTAGCGCCACCTTTGCTGGTTTGTCTTTGTTTATTTATGGGGAAGGATGTCAGAGCATAGTTTAACAACTATATTCAATCTTTAGCATGCATGCATGCATGCTTCAGGGACTGCATAAATCTTCTCCAGTATACTGTTTAAGGAGTAGACGATCATCCAAATACCTGCCCGTCGCGCGCGGTGTTGCGACGCTGTCGCCTGTGACAGGCCTACAGGAACTGGGAAGAGCGTCAATATCTCTTTGTGGTTGCAGAAGCAGGCTCCTCCCCCGGGTTTTCCCGTCGTCGGGATGGGTTTGATATGAGATGTTTGTGAGGTCATATGTACCATTGACATTGATCAAAAACGTATGTTATATAGTAAGTCATCTCATGAGATGTTCTCATCTTATTTGAGCTGATTTGTTTGAGATGAGAATGTCATCGCATGTCATTTTTTCGACTTCAGAGAAATTCGGAAGCGGGGAGCTACTGGCCCACCGGCCCGGCCCGGGCCGTCTCCACCAACAAGACCACCTGGAGATCCCCACCGTCCTCACAGTTCGGAAAGAGGTCAAAGCAAAGAAGAGGGAGTGCAAAACGGACCAAAACAACAAAAGATAACAACCCCTCATTTCGGGAGCTTGCTTTTTAGTTCCAAAGTCGTAGTATAGAAAACACTGCCTGGCATCGGAAGCTGCCTTCTGACAGGGAAGTTCCATTCATGTCCCTTCCCAAGCCGTTGTTAGTCCAAAAAAAACATGTTACTCTGCACGCCACCACCCTCCAGGCGCCAGAGAACTATCAAGGAGTCTTCATCAACTTCTCAGTCCTCAGCCCCAGAACTTCAGATGACCTGTGCAATCTCTGCACACATGGCGTCTCCATCCGTGCAAAAATCCTCAGCCCCAGAACTTCTCTGACCGCGGAAGCCTCGCCTCGCGCGGTCTTTTCGCGATGAACGCGCGGACGGCTGTGTGAGGTCTATGGGAAGATGAGGGGGGGGTCTAGTTCCCAGACTCTCCATGGGACTGCCACATAGGACTGCCGCCCCAGACCCCTTTGGCACCCACCACCCCTGGCCTGACCGGTTGACAGTCCCAGACAGGTTGGAGGTTGGGAACGGTTGGGTGGGTGATGCGTAGAGGTTACACGGGCGATGAAGGCGATCAGATGGAGGTCCGAAGACTTGGCGATCCAAACAGAGCCGGTCTACCGTCGTGAAACACGGTCAAACACCGAAGAACGCCCATGCGCAAGGCGCGCAAGGCCATGCGCAAGCACAAATGAAAAGACACGCCTCAAACAGGAGAACGTGTTTTGGTTGAGTTCACCGGAGGGTCCGGAGTTCTTGCCTCGGTGTCCCTTTGGCCGCCCGAGGAGTTGAGTTCGTTTTCGACGCGTCTCCCAGGCCCAAACACACGTGAACCAGTTGCAGGACCTGATTGACTCCAAGTTGGAAAAGTGCCTGGACCGCTACCCCGGGGTAGACGGCTACCCCGTGGGAAAGGTGGACCGTTTGCGCGGTGCTATTACATCCACGTACCAGGTGGTGAAGGGACATCTCGAGCAGCACTGAATTGGTTTTGGTCCGGGGCTTGGAATTCAGACACCCCTTCCAGCACCTCCAGGTCACCAATTGAAACCTGCCTAACAACCCTCCAAAGGGTACCTGTTGGAAGGTGCTGGTTTAGGATCCTTTAGGGGGTTCTGGTATAGATCAGAGTTTGCCTTTGCTAAGAGGTGTTTGGCTCCGGATCCCGAAAGGCTCCTGGACTGTGTAGCCGCCCTGCTCCAATGAGATCCGTACATGCAATTTCAGAACAGTGGACAGGCCCATGGAGGCATGCTGATCAGGTATGATCAGTATTGTTGAATACGTCTTCATTGTTTGGTGGGATGTTGATCATTGTTGACGTAAGATAGTGCGCGATAAAGCCTGCAGATTACTCAACTTACTGTGGCAAAGGAAAGTCTTGGCCAGCAACAAATTTGTGGTTGTTTGGGTATCTCGAACAAGTAGATTCACACCGCTACTACATCAGGTTTGAAGATTGAAGAGTTGGGTTTGTAGGTTATTTGGATATTTTCTAAAACATCTCCGCATAGTTTATGTATGATGGAGCCTACTTCCACATCTCAATGTGCAAAGCACTGAGGTGTGATACGAGGAAACAGTGTGAGGGTGATTGTCAAGATTTTTCAGTGATGCCCTCGGGCTGTTTTCGGACAACAAACAGAAGTATGCAGGTTGGATTCCTACAAAGTACTGGGGAAATTCATGGAATTGGACTAGTTCACAGGCTCTCACCCGCGGAAGGCTCGGTTCTTCTTCGAGCCAAAGGGTGTTGGGTCGGGGATTGGTGTGGCAAAGCCCGTCGTCATGGCACAGCCATGGATTCGAGTGAAGGGTTCTACCGTGGTACGGTTTTGCATGGTTTTGCTCATTCATAGAGGTTTGGAAGCCTGTCATACCCGAGTTGGAACACCCACCGGAGCGAAGGACATACCACGACCCCACCGGTGGAAGACGCCGACGCACCGAGGCGCCGACGTGGAGTCTATGGGCCACCTGCGGGGAAGAAGATGGCCGGAGCCCCGTGGGCGCACGGGTTCAGTGTGGTCCAGGCAGTGGCCATAGAGACTATGGATCCACATACCGAACCTGAGGTACGGTGATTGGAGACTATAAATGTAGGCGTGGAGGGCTCAAATACCTTCTGACAAGGTATGTGGATCCATAGGGATTGTTTTTTTTGGCTGTTCCCGGCAGCCCGGTTCATGGGTTCTTTTGCCTTGCTCGTCCTCGGTTGTTTCTCGCGCACGCGTCTCATGCAACGGCTACCCTCAGCTATGCGTATGGTAGACATGACCATTAGATCCCCAACCAATGGGTTTTGGTCCCTTTTCCTTCTTCCAAGCGTGTCTTTGGGCGGTCTCCTATTTTAATACACACCCATGTGCACTGTGCATCAGGGGCGACGGACCGCGCCTGGTTTGGCTCAGTGTGGATGGTTTGAGATGATACTGGCTGGGTGCATCAACCTGGCTGGGTGCGTTAGGGGATGTTCGGGGTGGTCTTAATTTTCTTGTGTCGATGGATCCTGGTGGCTGAAGCTGTGTTTCCACCAGAGCGCAGCTCAGGCTGTGGATTTGCAGCTTCCAAATGCAACCAGGTTTGCCGAACCAGCTACACCAGGTTTGCAGAACGCAGACGATTTATATATATACATGACAATGTTGATTCGGGGGGTGGAAACACGGATGGGATAGAGTGAGCGATGTCAGGATTTCTGCATGAAGTCTTTCCTGACATATGTTTTTGTTTTCGTATTGACTGTTGATGAATAAAACACGGCTTATGCATGCAAGACAACATGTATATTTAGAACCTGACCTCCATTTTGCAGGGTCAACTATAAAACATATTGCCTTTTCCTATCAAAAAGGAGTCCTTCCTGGATTCCGGGCATATATACTACCTATACCTGGATGGTCGGTAACCTGGAAGGGGGTGTTATTAGTCCACTGTCAGAGAACGCGTATATTCCGCTGTTTCTTGCGCCTGTTTTGAGGTGCTGTTCATCGACGTTGAGGGCTCAGCTTACGAACACTGAGCGGTAAAGAAAGCGTCCATCCCTTGAAATAAGGGTTTGTATAGTACCGGCGGGAGGCTGGAAGATTCAGCATTATATTGTTCATTTTCCAAGAAATGCCAAGCCACATAGTCCAATAATTGTCAAGCCCATGTTTTATGTTTCAGCTCTTGAGGAACCATTTGGGTGGTCCATGATGCCATCTCCCGCATATGTCAGGATATATTCTACACCATCAGTAGCAAAGCTGCGGCCACTGGTTTCAATCTTGAGGTTTCAGGATCCGTCGATTCGTGATGGTTTTTCCTTTCACAGCAGAGGTCATGTTTGGGTTCTAGGTATATACATGCACACCCAGCTCATACTGGACATATTTGCTGATCCTGTTTGGTTCAAGAAGACCTGGGAAGCAAGGCCAAGCCATTGCACACAAAAGGCAAGAGACCCAAGACCTCCTCCTAGCCATGCCGATGAGCTATTCGAACTTCGATGTGGAGACGCCCAAAGCAGTGGCGAAAAGGAAGAAGGAGGTGAATGCATTCCTGGAGCGCCACGCCTTTCCGGGGGTGAATAGCTTGCGTGATACCAGTGATGTCTTTCAGCATGTTCGTGTGAAGCAGCTATATCCTTTGGATGTTGCCGAAGAACTAGGTGATGAGAGGATGATGAGTTTGTTGAAGATGTCAGGCCAGCCGCGCCAACAACCAACTTGAAAGCACATAAGTTGTGCACATTATACACTCGAACTGAAGAGTCGTCTCTACGGGTGTTCAGCTGTCCTTTGTTTGTCCTTTGTTGGTCAGAATGTTAACTATATGCATGTCTATCGTGAATATCCGCGAACATCACCTATGTTCAAGAGATTGCGCGATTCGCATGTGTCAATCTCCTGCAGAAAGACAGGGAAAAGATCACAACCAACCTGCTTGTTTTTTCCTTGTTGTTCTGGATTGGTGGCCAAAATGTGGCTTCCCGAAGCAAGCATGGAAATCTAGGGCCCTGTTGTAACAAAATTAATTGAAATGAGGGTTGTTCCGGTGGTGGGTGTCAAAAGCAAGTGCTGGGGAACGCAGTCTGTGTAAATAAACAATTGTCAATGAATTCCTCTCTTGCAGGGCACCCAAAGTTCCATTTGCAGGTGCCACGGAGCGTTCCCAGACCTCTAGAAGCGCTGGAAGTGCTTTAGGTGGCTTGAGGAGCTTTCTCTCCCTGCGCAGCACGGCCTCCACAACATCTACTGCGGCCAGTGGTTCTGAAGCACCAGTGCCGCAACGGAGCTGTTTGGCCAAGAAGAAGGTGGATGAGATTGATATGGCAACGGATGAGGAGAGTGTGGAGTCTGTGTGGGTTTGACCAGGCTCTTTTTAGGACAACTAGCACAACTGAAGGAGCACATTCTCATGGGGGGGGATGTGTCCTGAAGCCTTTAAGCAGATGAGTCGGGCAGAATGTGTTTCAACTGCGTTGAGAATCTTGAGACACGAGAGAGCAGCACGAACTCCAAGTCTTTTTTTTCGCATGCAAAAAAGATGGTGCACCGACTTAATGCAGACGTGGTTTGAAGGTTGAAGACGAAATGTAAATTCTCATGAGGAGATTTGTTTTCTGAACTGCTCTCTTGAGATCTCTACCGTAGCTCGTGTCATGAAGCAGGCCTCGACTGCCGAGGCAGCTCTCACGAGCAAACCAAATTTTGACAAGTATTTTAAGTCATGTGCAGCATGTGTCCAACAACATGCCACTTTGTGTCCCAACGAGACACGTCACCCTGGACACTTTGCATCCCAATGCGGCACTTCACCCTGGCCGTGCTTCAGCCTTTTCACTGCACTCGAGGAAAGAACTGCTGAACTATGCTGCTCAAAAGAAAGTCAAGGCATTTCAAGGCCAAGTCTTGCAGCGTCTCCCGTGAGTCAATGAAACCACAATGATGCAACATAATATTTCCGAACTGAATATGGACTGAGACATGCACTGTGCATGGGTGTTGCGTAGAAAAGCGAAACCACATGGTGGTGAAGTCCAGAACCTGAGGAAACGGCGGGCCGCACTCACGGCCGTTGAGGCTAATAGTAACGAGGCGAGCAGGAACGGAACCAGTTTGTTCGACCTCCGAAACCTCAACAGCCTGGGCAACCTCTACAAGTGGAGTCGTAGCTCATTACACTCCGACGAACACATCACATGGAAGTGGAAAATGGCCTGTTGGATGACTATTAATTATCCTTTACAAGCAGATGGTTTTCCACTTCCATGTTAGTGAGTCAGAGGGTACAACATTCAGAACTGAGAGTGCAGGTACATATCGATTGCCAGTGGATGCTTCCCTCTCTGATGCATAGCGGTATAGCTTCGTTGGACCGAGTAGCATCAGAGAGCTCTGTCCCCACGCCGCTTTTTGTTGAAACATTTCCGCTTGTCATAGCGGTATACACGCACCACATTTCATGCTGCCTAACTTACTAACTTGGTATCTTTCGTCAGCTGGTGCCACCATGTGCCACCCTGTCCTGTGTCAATGACCATAGTTAGCAAGCAGGACCGGTTCCTGTTCGGTCCAGTGTTCCCCGCATTTGGACGTCACCATGAATGCATGCCAACTAAGTTAAGTTCGTACTGCAGATTTCGTGGGGCCCGAGCGGATGTGTATTGCACCCCACCAGCAAGAGACCTCGTCCTTGTCATGCCGATGAGCTATTCGGACTTCGATGATGAGTCACCCAATGTAGTGGCGCAAAGGAAGGAGGAGGTGAATGCATTCCTGGAGCGCCACGCCTTTCTGGGGGTGAATAGCTTGCGCGATACCAGTGATGTCTTTCAGCATGTCCGTGTGAAGCAGTTATATCCTTTGGATGTTGCCAAAGAACTAGGTGATGAGAGGATGATGAACATGTTGAAGATGTCAGGCCAGCCGCGCCAAAAAACAACTTGCAACACAGATGTGCATAAGTGGCGTACTTTACATAGCTTTGCTACACATACTCCCCCAAGAGACATGCATGGACTGAACGAAAACAATTTTGAAGAGTTTACCCTACAGGCGTGGTATTCAATTTTAACGTGGGCCTGCTCCTGTCAAGCCTTTATTACTATTTTTAGTAGTTATTTTATGTCTATGTAGTATAATATTAATAACTATATATACTGTTTGTTTATTTATATGTATATATATATAGTTGGTCAGGCCCCCCAGTGACCCTTTGAAGACGACAACATAGATACCTTCCAGATTTGCACATGAGACAGTGTAGACATTGAATTTGTAGTTCCTCCCCAAGAAGACTCAAGGTCAGCAGACGCAAGGCAGCAAACAGAGATTGCAGAAATGCAAGCCTGTGTGTTAGGTTGCATGTGCCATTGAAGGAATGCCTGGTTTGTAACTTGAAATGATCACAGCATGAAAGGGCAGATGAGGTCCTGCTCCCAAGTAACATCACAAAAAAAGGAAGGTCAGGAAGGCTCACATCGCCGACTGGTCCGTGGCATTTCAATGGCTTTGTTTGAGGACCAGCCTTCAGGCCATTCACGTGTGCACTCGGACAAGACACCGAGCTGGTGCCTCACCGAGCTGGTGTCTCAAGGACTCTACGAAGGTCAGGTGGAGGTGACAAGCTAACACAGTTGTGAAGAGACCACGAACAAATCTGTGGACCACCACATATGCAGAGAAGAGTCGAGTCTTGCAGATAAAGCTGTGTGAACCCAATCTGTTGGCATTGCACAGCTTAAGAAAACAAACACAAATCTTTCAAACGAAGCATGGTCAAATTGGAAAAAATAGCACAACACACTTCGACGCAGGTCGTAGGGGTGACCATTTATTTATACAAGTTACTGTGTATAGATATGTAGATACTACATATATATTATAGATATATGTCCATTTATTCATATGTATTTCTCTATTTATATTTATGTTTATATATATATATGATTATTAGCGTAGCGTGTGTGCGTTGTCGGATGAAATGCGGTCTACGATTCGGCTCCAAGAGATGAACCCACGCAGGACGACACACCCATATGTTAGACCCAGGTTGGTTGCCAAGTTTGGCTTCCCGAACAAAGCATCAAGTGGGACACATTAACAAGATGAGTTTTTTTTATTTTAATCTGTTTTAGGACTGGCAGCTGGGGATATGAACCAGGGTGGGAGGCATTTTTCAGTGCGAAGAGTCTAAGAAACACAGGTCAGGTGATATGTGTTTCTCGCAGGGCTCACACGAACTTCTGTTTGCAGGTGCCACGAAGCGTTCCCAGACCCCTAGACGCACTGGAAGTGCTTTGGGCGGTTTGATGAGTTTCCTCTCCCCACGCAGCACGACCTCCACAAGATCAACATCTACTATGGCCAGTGTTTCCGAAGCACCAGTGCCACAACGGAGCTGTTTGGCCAAGAAGAAGATGGATGAATTTGATATGGCAACAGATGAGCAGAGTGTGGAGTCTGTGTGGGTTTGACCAGGCTCTTTTTAGCACTGTCGAAGGAGCACATTCTGATGGGGATGTGTCCTCAATTGTATTCAATTGCTTTTTGGAGCAGATGAGCAGAACATGCTTTCACTGCTTGCCAGAATCTTGAGACATCCTGAGAGCAGGAAAATAGGAGGAAAACTCTCCCAAACTGCACATCAGGAGATCTCGGTTCAGTGCACCATCTCGTGTAGTTGTGTCATGTGCAGCAAGTCTCCCCGAGAGCGAACTTTCACGAGCAATCCAAAACTTCTTCAGCGTCTTGTGCAGAGTGTGCCCAGCAACATGCCACTTTGTGTCCGAGACACTTCATCCTGGCTGTGCTTTTAGCCCTTCCACTGCACTTGAGGAAAGAACCGTCGAGGTCGTGCAATTTGTACACATAGATGTTTGAACCAGTTTGATGTTTGGTAGAGTTGGTATTTGCATCAGGTTGCGTTTCAGCGGAGTGATGTGCTTATATGCACATGTTTCATGACAATATAATATACTTAATATACTTGTGATTGTGGTCATTGATTTGATGCAGAGACATGCTCCAAGATTATTGACTCTTGACTATTGACTTAATGCTGAAAATTATTGAACATATTCTGTGGTGTGCATACATGCGTGGTACCTAACCCCGCGGTAGTTGCGCAAAATACTTCCATTTTTCACTCCCCCCAAAAAGCATATAAGAACCTATACCAGGAATACCAGGTGAGCACGTTGTTAGTGACCATAGTTAACAGTTAGCAAGTAGGACCGGTTCCTGTTCGGTCCAGTGTTCCCCGCATTTGGACGTCACCTTGAATGCATGCCGACTAAGTTAAGTTCGTACTGCAGATCTCCTGGGGCCCGAGCGGATGTGTATTGCACCCCACCAGCAAGAGACCTCGTCCTCGTCATGCCGATGAGCTATTCGAACTTCGATGTGGAGACGCCCAAAGCAGTGGCGCAAAGGAAGGAGGAGGTGAATGCATTCCTGGAGCGCCACGCCTTTCCAGGGGTGAATAGCTTGCGTGATACCAGTGATGTCTTTCAGCATGTTCGTGTGAAGCAGCTATATCCTTTGGATGTTGCCGAAGAACTAGGTGATGAGAGGATGATGAGCTTGTTGAAAATGTCAGGCCAGCCGCGCCAACAACCAACTTGAAAACTAGCCATAAGCACTTTACGTAGCATACTCCCCAAAGAGAAATGTATGGACCGAACAAACACAAACTTGAAGAGTTTACTCTACAGACGTGGTATTCACTTTTAACGTGGGCCTCCTCCTGTCAAGAATCAAGTTTGTTTGAAAACGTGCATTACGTGGCACCTTTAGTATCCTTACTTTAAAAGGTATATAGTTATTAACATGGTCTGTGTGCGTGTTTGTCAGCTAGAATGCAGTCAGCTAGAATGCAGTCTATGATTCTCCCTGGCTCAAAGAGATGAACCCACTGTGGAGGACGACCCACCCATATGTTAGATCCAGGTTGGTTGCCAAGTTTGGCTTCCTGAAACAAGCAAACAACCACTGCAAATTTGGTGCCCACTTGAAACATAAACAGAATGAGTCAATGTGTTTAAAATCTGTGTTCAGACCTGCAGCTGGGGCTATCAATGCATTTTTCAGTGCATCTAAGAAACACGCGTGATATTTGTTTCTCGGAGAGCTCACATGACGGTCCGTTTGCAGGTGCCACGGAGCGTTCCCAGAGCTCTGGAAGCGCTGGAAGTGCTTTGGGTGGTTTGAGGAGTTTTTTCTCTCTACGCAGCGCGGCGTCCACAACATCTACTATGGCCAGTGTTTCCGAAGCACCAGTGCCACCACGGAGTTGTTTGGCCAAGAAGAAGGTGGACAACTTTGATATGGCAACGGATGAGGAGAGTGTGGAGTCTGTGTGGGTTTGACCAGGCTTTGTTTAGCACAACTGAAGGAGCACATTCTCATGGGGGGGATGTGTCCTCAATTGTATTCAATTGCTTTTTGGAGCAGATGAGCAGAACATGCTTTCACTGCTTGCCAGAATCTTGAGACATCCTGACATCCTGAGAGCAGAAAAAGGAGTGTATTCTCATGAGGAGAACGTCTCCCGAACTGCACATCAGGAAATGTCGAGAAGTAGACCATCTCGTGTAGGTGTGTCAAGTGCAGCAGGCTTCCTCGAGAGCCAACTCTTACGAGCAATCCGAAACGCTCACGAGCATTTCAAGTCTTGTGCAGCATGTGCCCAGCAACATGCCACTTTTGTGTCCAACGAGACACTTCATTGTGGCTGTGCTTTTAGCCCTTCCACTGCACTTGAGGAAAAAACTGCCGAGGTCATGCAATTTGTGCACATAGTTGTTGATTCCAATTTCAGTCGGTGTTTGCATCAGGTTGCTTATAAGCGGAGTGATGTGCTTACATGCAAATGCTTCATGACAATATAATACTTTTGATTGTGGTCATTGATTTGATGCAGAGGCATGATCCAAGACTATTAATTAGTGCTGAACATGGTGCTGAAAATTGTTGAACATATTTTGTGAATTTTTGTGATGTGCATACATGTGTGGTACCTACCCCCGTGATAGTTGTGCACATTACTTCCATGTCTTGCCAAAGTACTATATATATATCTATATATATATATACCAGGTACCAGGGGAGCACATGTAAATGCATAAAGAAAATTAGTGACCATAGTTGGCAAGTAGGACCGGTTCCTGTTCGGTCCAGTATTCCCCGCATTTGGACGTCACCTTGAATGCATGCCGACTTAGTTAAGTTCGTACTGCAGATCTCCTGGGGCCCGAGCGGATGTGTATTGCACCCCACCAGCAAAAGACCTCATCCTCGTCATGCCAATGAGCTATTCGAACTTCGATGTGGAGACGCCCAAAGCAGTGGCGAAAAGGAAGGAGGAGGTGAATGCATTCCTGGAGCGGCACGCCTTTCCAGGGGTGAATAGCTTGCGCGATACCAGTGATGTCTTTCAGCATGTTCGTGTGAAGCAGCTATATCCTTTGGATGTTGCCGAAGAACTAGGTGATGAGAGGATGATGAGCTTGTTGAAAATGTCAGGCCAGCATCCGAACCCCATTTGAAAGACACACTACCTGGACCTGAAAACAGTCCGTTGAAAGTGTTTCTTTTACTGACATAGTTTTCCGCCTCCAATTAACTTAATTCTCCACCATGGATTTCCATGGTTTCTACTTGGCACCCGTCAAGATTCAAGCCAATGGAACAGGTGCATTGCATGGTGCCCATGTTGGTCGATATGATCCAATGACAACATAAGGCGTCGTGTCCAGAGCCTCTTGCGTATTTGGCTCTTTAGAAGATTTCAACATGTTCAACGACAACCCACTTGTTCCTGGGTGGTTGTCGGGGCGTGACTTCTCAATACCGGTGTCCAGTTGTTCGGAACTAGACGGGTTCCAATGGGTGGAATGCACAGAACATCGGTGCACATGTGGGTCCGAACTAATCATTATCACGGACAGATAATGCCGCTGTGCTCGGCGAAGCGGAGCAGCAGCGACACAGGCGGGCTGGTCAGGTCATCACACTGGTCGAGCGAGCTCCTGGCTCGACCGGAAAGGTCTTGCAGCAGCAGCCTTCAGGATCCGCGTCCGAGCTGTGTCACGGACGTCAAGAGGCATCCGAAGGACAAACGCAGTCCTTCCCATCAGGATTCTGAGCTCAGGTTTACGGATGCCCCGGCGACGGAAGGCACCCAAATCAAACAGAGAGACCAAACGACTCAAGCACTCATCAACAGGCCGAACAACCCGGTTGAGCGGGATCCTGAAGGGAAGGCTTTCAACGGACCTGGATTCGAATCTGTCCCCAATGGAAACCGGAAAACAAAACCCACTCAAACCCAACAAAGCAACAGCCAACTCAACATCAGTATACCAATCAAGGGGGGTGTTCTCCTCAAGGTCCCAAATCTGCAACTGCTCAATCATGCTACACTGGAAAAGCAGGTGGGCCTCTGACAACTTTGCGTCAAGAATCTGGGACTTCCAACCCAAAGGAAGAAACTCAGAAAAACCACAATCAACACCAACCGAAGGAACCACGACAGGCCTAAGCTGTGGGTCGGAAGTCCGGGGTGCCTGCTGCCTGCGGTCCGCTACTTTAAGGTAAAAATGCCTCAGTCGAACCGCGAGCTCACCTATCACTTGATGTTCAGCCACGAGCTGCTTTGCCAGTTTGCTGGCTAAATCACCTCTGTGTTGGTTCTGTGACACAGCAAGTTGGTCAGCAAGCGAGTTCCAACGACACACCCAGCTTTCAAATGGATCCTCCATCATTTGTTCTTGTAGATGGCTGGGAATCCAGCGCACAGTAGTTTCCAAGTGCACTCTTTCCCGCAGCAACGCCTCAACAGTACACCAGAGATCCGCGTTGGTCTCAAGTCTGGTGAAGTCAGTCTCCTGTGTCAGCTGTTGCAGGTACATTGCCACATGCAGGCAGTCCGACCAGACACAAATGCCACTGTTCGTGGCATTGCCCCATTCCAGTGCCGAGATGACTGAGGTGATTTCTGCTCTGTCTGCAGTCTGTCGCCACCCAGGGACCAACCCAGAGGAGACTATGTCCCCGGTTGTGGCATTTATCACACCCCATGCAGCAAGCGAGACGGAATCATCCAGAGCTTGACATGAACCATCTACAAAAATATGTTGGGTATCAGGAGTCGCACAACAGGATAAAAAGTCGCAAGTACTATCATGAATCACCGAAAGACTAACCCGAAAGCTTTTAGCAACAGTCAACTGAGGAAAAAGTAAATGGTTCACAGCACAATCCGGAAGGCTCAAAACAGAGGCAACATCCAAATGCAGCTCTTCCCTGATGTCCTGGTAGTGAGGACATTGGAGCCAGTGCTTGCGAGTATCCTGCTGTTGGCATACTTCACAGTGAAGTGACTTGGAACCGTCAAACTTGCTCTGCTGGGCAGCAGTCAGAAAGGAGCCACACTGAAGTGCAGAAAGGCGCAGTGTATCTTGCGTAGTCAGTTTCCGGTGCACCACGCTAGTGAGGTGCTGGTTCAAACCACACAATCCACCCATAGTTTTGTGTCGCACCTGCGTGCTAATGAACTGCAGCCAAGCATCTTGAAGCACGAGATCCAGTGTTCTCCTGTCTATGCAGCCAAGGTCATGTGGACAACCAAGATGATCAAAAAAGAATGGAGGCTCCAGCAGAGACCATCCAAGTTGGTTGAAGATCAAGTTCACCTTAGTGAATGGACCAGGTTGAACATGTCCCGTCGCCCTGTGCCAGCAAAGCTTCCATAGCTGGATGAGCTCCGAGCATTTGTGCAGCATTCGCCGCATAGTATGTAGGGTCAACCGGATGTGGTAATATCCAGGATCCTGGTCCATGTCATCCAACAAAGTGAGTCGAAGTATGGCATTGGCCCCAGCACAACGAAGTCCGAGCGACTGGATAGCCAAAACTCTCAGTTGTTGGATATAGCCATCAGCAATGACACATGCAGCTGAACCATGCAGGGCAGCAGTCCAAAAAACAATGGGGAGCGCCTTAAGCTTTTGAGTCAAGGGTGCACGGGACCTCGAGAGTCGTTGCCACTTGGGATGTAGATTGTCCCCTCTGTCTTTTAGCTGTTTGTTTCGAACTGCCCTGCAAAAGGCCATGCTTCCTCCCAGCTCGCGTGCGTCCAGGAGACAGCGGAAACCAGCCTGCTTGATCAGCTGCCTTGCGCCGGTATGTGTAGACCACCCGAAAGTCTTGTCATCATCCAACTCAAGGCCCCATAATGCCAGACATTCGTTGGTGTGAACAAAGGCACGATGGAGCTCGTGCCAGTCTGGCCCGTGCAGGTCTAGGTTGTCGACAAAGGATCTCAATTCAACCTTCGGAAAGTAACATCGAAGGAATTCATGATGCCCCCAATTTACCAAGATCATGGCAACAATTGACAATGGACACCCTTCCGGGTACCCCCGGTTTGAGGTCACAGGTTCAGAGACCCCGTGGTGAATCTGGAATCTGCGCTCGAAATGCACTAAAAACTGTGCCCAAGGGGAAAGAATTCGCTCAGGCAGTCCAACATGCATCCCGACAGCAAAGGTGGGTTCTCGCTCAATATTGTTGAAACATCGTCGGACATCAGCTGAAATGCCATGCCACGAAAAACCACAAGTGATACTTGCTTCAACCCAACCTTGTATTAACATCCAGATCTGAGAAGTCTCTTGGCCAGGAACGAAGCCGTGAATCTCTGGAGGCAAGAACTTGACCAATTGTGAAAGCAGCTGCTTGGTCCGCATGGATCCCCATAGGCGATATGCAACTGCAAACACATGTATGGGCCGAAAGTCTCCAGGCTGCGTTGGGCTACAAACCTTGGCCACACATGTGATCAGACCAGTCAAGAATTGATGTGGCCAGTTCATGGTCCCAAGTTCCAAGGAATTGAAGAGGTCAACGATCCACTGCAAGTAGACCTGAGGCATGTGTACAAAATCATGACGAGACACACCATCGGGCCCAGTGGCCGCTGTTTTCTTCATTTTCCGGATCGCCCGCTTCCAATCATGCAGAGTGAGCGGTTGAAGTTCAAATTGGAGCTTCGGCAAAAAGGCTAAACAAAAAGCAAACACCTGTTGCAGACGTTCCCTCGAAGTGTCCACAGTGGCTTGCCACCGACCTTTCCAATGCTGTACAAGTTTTTGGCAAACGTCCAGATGGTCGGTGCAGAAAATTCGCTGCGTCAACGTAGTGCCAACCGCAACTTGCGTGATAGGGACTTTGCATACCACGCCATCAAAATCAAAAGGGGTGATGGCCCGAGTGCCATCCTCATCATCTATCCACCAAAGTGAGTTTTCGGTTGTGTCGGCTGGTGCGTCAAGATGCACTTGCTGATCTTCGGAGTCCAGCACTTCATATTGCATCTCAGTGGTGAAGAAAGTCACCGTGTCAGTCTTTGCTGGTTTGAGGTCTTGAAAAAGGGCTCTCATAGTTCCCTGGTAGCGGAGTTCAAGTCGTTCAGATCTTTGATTCTGGTGCCACCGTTCAAAAGCACGGAAGTGAGAGACAAATTCCAAGTATATGAGCTCGGCTTGTTCCAGGTGTGGGACAGAAGCAGGGAGCTCAAAACAAGCATCTGGGTTGTGACTGGTTCTTGTACACCACCAAGTCCGGAAGTCCGGGTCAAATCCCTTTGCCCGAAGGATTGCGGTCCAAACCTCAATTCGATACAAGTGGCTGGTCACCAAGTCACGAGCAGCCCGAAGGTTGTGCAAAAGACTCTGGATACGCTTGGCTTGATCATACCACCTTTTAACGGCGTGCCCAAGAAGGTCAAACGAAAGTCCAAGTTCACCATCTCGTGGTTTCTTGCAAACCGGAGTGGCGATCTCTCTTGTCTCTGGAGCTAACCTTTGCACTCGTCCAAGGGCATTAGGGGGAATCAGGACGTTTGCAGCATTTGCCTGTACACTAAAGTGAGCTTCCAGATGCCTCCCCCATTGCGCCAGAGCTGCAGTAGAATCGTCTGCAGGCATAGTTGGTAGCGGAGCGTCTTCCGGCGGTTGCCAGTCCTCAAGATGCTGCCATGGAAGAGCGGAAGGAAGAGGCCAACATTGATAGCTCAATTTGGTGGTAGGCAGATGCAAGTATGCTGCAACAGTTTTATGCCCTGCGAACACCTGCGCGACCGACACATGCCGTAGAAGTTGTTGAGCTTCAGGTGACAGCCAGATCTGATCGATCTCCGAATACTGTCCATTCGTTGGTTGCCACTCATGTCCAAGATGTTGGATGGCGAAGCTCTGGGCAGATTGCCACCCGTAGGTGAGCCAAACCCTTTGTTGTGGTAGAAGCTGATCATAGGAGACGTTGAAGTCACCTGTGATGAGTCTCGGCCCTTGACAGCCGATCACATAGTCCTTTGTGAAAGGGATGAGCAAGTCGTTGGTCATGTCCGCTGCATTCGGCCAGGTTGGCCCTTTAGCGAACCCGTAGATCGTAGCAACCGACAAAGGCAAACCAGGTACCTGGTGACGTGCCAACATGATTCGACTGGACAACCACTGTTC